TTTTTTTTACGTTTTGTGAAACTCAAGATCCCAAAAAGTCCCACCAAAAATTGGCTTGTTTCTGATATTGATAAGCCGTTTAGGTTTTATAGTGTACATCGCAAAAGTTAGGATTGTTGATCAGTCGCATTTGGACCTTGTTGGGTAACCCGTTTTCCAGACATGATTCTATTTGTTCCGGTTTAGAGTGCGTGCGTGATCGGTTCGTCATGTGATGACTAGACGATATTTAAGAAGGATATAAACTACAATCAAAATGTTATGACTCACTTTCAGTTTCTGTTTACTAAGCTAATCGCTGGGAAATAACCCTCGGACCCTTTGAAGAAAATTCGATTCACAACAAACTTGAACAAACGTTTTACTTACATGTAAACTTATTATTCTTTCAAAATATTATACATTATTATTTGACATCATTTATCGACTATTTAATTAGCGGCATTACATTGAGTAATTCGCAGAAATTCCACAAAATGTACTGTATTTAGAAATTCGCAAATACTTTATAGCTAGCTACATAGATATTTGAGTTCTAAACACATTGGACCTCTTGTTTGTAGCGCTTCGTGAGATTGGAGGTCAACGAAGTGTATACAAGGAGGGCTTGATACAAATCTGACAGCATTATGTGAAAACTATCTTCAGGTATCTGGGAGTCTCGTGGGCTAGATAGGATTTCGTTTTTTAGAAGCTTTAGAAGAGTAAATACATCATGAAGATTGTCCACATTGGGAGATGATGAATTTGAGATTTTTGGCAAATCGTCTACAGTCCCGTGATCTTTCAGGAGGCATGGGAATAAAACAGCTTTCTCCATTTCATCAACAGCTTTCAACATTTCTTTGAGGGATCCGTGAAGGGTCTGAATTTGGGTGAATCTGACATTATTCTCGAATTCTTTATACGTAATTGTCCTTGACTGGAAAGCGATGTTTTGGGCGAATATTGTTATGTACTTTGCAATCAAAATGATTTGGTTGATTTGCTTCGTCGATTCTCTCAACTTGCATTGGAAAGGCGAATTTCTTTCATCGTTTTCGAGGATGTAACTGCAGCCCAGAGCGATCTGTGTTTTTACGGCTTTCATGTAACTGTAGAAAGCTCTCATATCTAAGCCTTCTAGGTAGCTATCACCGTTCGTTTTGGACAATAACTCTGTCATCTCTAAGCCCATCAGTCGACTTGGAACCAGAATGGTTGACTCCATATCTTCAACAGTTTCAAGGTACTTTTCGATTACTCCAAGGAAAGAACGCTTAAAGTAGAATTCATCCCATGTGTGTTCCATGTTGGTTGACAGAAAGCTGCACATTTCCTTCTCCACGAAATAGCTCGACAAAGGCAACGATCTCAAATTCTGCATATAGAGTTAACAAGTTAAACGAGTATTCTTGCAGAGGGGTGTAATGTCCAAAAGATACTGTGAACCGAAGCAGGATAATAGTTCGAAGTCCTGATATTCGTTGTAAAGTCGAGGCAAAGGCCACCAAAATTATAAAATGTCTTATGAGGCAAACAAAAAATATCACATAGTGTTGAAATCGGTGGCCTGACACTGGTCAAAATATCCTTTAACCAATCAGAACTCATTATTTACATGAACTGTTCACGTGCATCACACATGCTGACAACATAGAGCATGACCGCAGGATATTTCGAGAAACAAAGATGCAAATTTTGACATTCTGGACGAAATTTATCACAAATTATTTAGAYTCAGTAAAGGAAAAACATRCATTTACTCGTCTCAAAAGAAGATTAGTTGTTTTACGAAATCTCCTGTACTATTAAGTCATTTTTCCCCGTTTCATCTTATTATGAAATTCTGGAGGCGTTGACGAGGGAGTGTATCTAGATGTCACGCAACAAAAAAGTCACGCAGTGGTGCACAAAGCCCGCTCCCGTCTGATTGATCAGTTTATGTTGATTGACAACATAAATATTGTTATTACGAAATGTTCTATTCTAGTGTACCATAAATACCATTTATATTATTCAATTCTGAATAGAAAAAACATGAATAGAGCAAAATAATAAAAATAAAGAATCAATTTTTTCAGCATGTAATTACAGTGAAGAAGAATTTTTTAATGATAAAAATATAATAAATGAATACGAAAAAAGAAGACAAAAAGGATTTGAATCCTAGTCAAAATATTTTAAAAACAAACTATTACTTGGGATGCAGCTTATTTACGAGAGCGGCTTATACATGAGTAAATACAGTAATATCATTCACTGGTAGACATTTAATTTATGAAGCTGATTTACATTTCTGTTAGAGATTTCAACTTTTCAACATTAGTTACCTTTGTATTCTCACAGAATATTCCAATATTCACATTGATATACTATCCTAATTTTTGTACCTAATACACTGAGCTGTTATGACTGATGCAACTGTTGTAAATGTTTCATCAGCATCATCAGAATCACCGAACTGAATCACCACTCAATCACAGCTTTTTCTGCAAAGAATTCTCCATTGTAACCAGACCCCTCTGGCAAGAGGGCTAAGTAAACAGGAGTAACAGCACCTGAGTGTGTAAAAAAACAATATGTTAACCAAGCATGTAGAATTTAGAGTTTTAAACACAAGCATAATAATACCCCGGGTGGGGGTGTGCCACTGGGACCTCAAAATCCCAGCATTGATAATTTTGGAATTATACGCTCACCCTGTTCCAGAAAAAAATCGGTGAAATAGATACTTTGTTCCAGAATAAAATCGCTAAAAACGGTAGCCTGTTCCAGAGTAAAATCGCTGAAAACCATACCCTGGTTAGCTGCACGTCCAAGTATAGCAAATATGGGGGAGTACCCCCCTCCCCCTCCCCCCTGGGAATAATACAATGCAATGCAATATGAGGAAACATTGAATTGGAACAGCATTTGGAGATTCAATCTGTAGATACAGGATGGAAGTTCCTGGCTGAGTATTATAAATAATGCCTTAGCATTAAGATGAGCATAGAATGACAGATATCCTTGTGAGCAAATCACCTAGATTGTGTCTGTCATTGAAGTACATTACTGGTCATGTCATCTCACTTTGATGCAAAGGTTTACCATTCAAGATGATACAGGGAGCCAATTACTGAGGAGGCTACTTTTATTGACATTGGTGATTAATTATCATACCTTCATCTATTGTCAATTTTGCATTAGGTCCAGCCATGTCTGTGCGTACCCATCCTGGACAACACTAAATTATACAATATCATCAATATGTTTACAATAGATCACTTGATCCCATCATAGTTCATAGAGGGAAATGGTTTGGAAACCTTTTGTTGTACTTCTTTTGTGCATCTTTTGTACCTATTTTGAGATCTAATCAGTCATGACCGTGCACAACTTTTTTTTCTTACAGATGATGGAAATTGCAAAATGAGTGAACATAAACACCCTCTATGAGATTATGAAATGAAATATTTCAATATTGGTTAGAAATTTTTGTGAATTTTGAAGAAATAGTCAAAAGAATAATTTTCACTCTGTTCATTCAGATGTGACCAATATGGCTAAATCAATAGTTAAACAAAAGATTGTACAATGTCACACTTGGAAAAAAGTGCACAAAACCTACAACAAAAGGCTTCCTAACCATTTCACTCTACAAACTATGGTCCCATGGACTACTTATACAATAGAGTAGTTGAATCACGGTGGAGCTGAGAAACTTGCCCACAGAAACTGGATGTTCCAAAAAAAACAAAAAACAACTAGTCATCAAAGACAGTTCTAAGGTGACATTTAGAGAAACATATAATCAACAGCATAATGCCCACGATATAAACTAAACTCTGTTGTTGTTAGTATTCAACAACAAAATTTTCTAAAGCAGCRGGCCCTATTTACTGATAATACTTCCTGCTGTGAGCACTATCATGCMACATGGTCAACTCTTGARTGAATGACRCAAATCAGGWGCCATCTTAAGTACTTACRCAGTTAACAAGAATGTCTTCCCTYTGATCTTTACTCATTTGCCTGGCATGGAGTTTAGTCAGTGCAATAACAGCTATTTTTGATAGGGAATACTCTGAGAAAAGGAATGTTATTAATTATGACATCATAATTTCATTTTTTTAACAAATTAACATTTTTTAAACATATACTGTAATTGGACTAACAAAAGACTTTTTTATGGTATAAAAGTTTTTATCACATTTCTTACTTGATTTTGGCCATCCTTTTTCAATATATGAACCATCTTTAACAACCCTGGATTTCAAAATTATTATGCTTATGTAATCAACATTCATACAATAAATATAAACATATTATCAAAATCATCAATAACATACAACAATTTCTGTGTAGTTTGACCATAGACTAAGATTTGACAATCCTGCTATTATTCCTGGTGCAAATCTTAAACAAAACAGGATCCTGTAAGATCTGTCAGAATCCTATTCAAGCTCCTACAAGATCCTGTCTAAGATTTGCACTAGAGATATCATAAAATAATATGGTTTCCACAAAATTTAATTGGGACTATTTGAATAATAAAAACTTCACAAAAACACTATAGTGACTCCTTTATGACAGAAGGTGGGAGTGCCAAAAACATCTGTGTCAAACATAGTCTACTGCAGGTTGAGACTACATGTATACCACAATTACCTCACATATTGAGCTACAAGGTCTTTGAGTTCATCCTCAGTCAGGCTTTGAGAGGTGAACTTGTTTTTCAATTCTTGGTTGCTTATATTCCTTAGTAAACCTGCACGTGATGCAACATTGACTACTCTGTGAGAATCAGATAATCTTTATATCACTATCAGTTGTTAAATAGAATAGTTTTTTATTCCAACAGATTATGTTGGACAAAATAAACCCATCAATAAGTGACACATCTTACCATAATGATGTCTAAGAATTACTGATCAAATTTCAAAGTGCTAACTAATAAAATATTGCTCAGGCATCCCTATACCGGTTAATACCAACATGAAACATGATCAAATAGTTACAGTTGATAACTATTTGATCATATAGGCAGGGAATTATGGAGACAAATTTGCAAAAAAAAATACATTTAAATTTAAATCTAAATATAGGCAGAGAATTATGGAGACAAATTTGCAAAAAAAAAAAAATACATATAATTAACATAAAGACTATTATTATAATAACCACCTTAAAATGCTGATTGACAGGCATACCTGGCATGTGGCCTCAACAATGGAAACAGAGCATTAGAAATATCCAACGTGCCTGTGAAGTTTGTTCTCGATGTAACYTCTGCTTGTTCTGCATCTGGGGCAGTTGATGCATTCTGTTTTACAATCAGAATCAACAACATAATATAAACAAAATCAATTTATAATTGTGGCAACATTTTTACAAATATGCRGCTTGTACGACCCTGAAATCTATCATTTCATCTAAGAAACTATGGGATGCCCGGTGGACATCATTAGAGAAATCTAAAGGACAACTAGCTTTGAATATGATACATTGGACTGGTATTTATCTAGAATATA